TCTGGCCTTGGTTCCTTTTGTCCTGGTTTCAAGCCACAGCCTGGTTTCTCTATATAAAAGCAGCTTTGAGGGCCGGGGATTTAGCTCAGTGGTTCTGGCACTGCCTTGCAAGCGCAAGGTCCAGAGTTCGTACTCTGGTACCCCCCCCCCAAAAAAAGCAGCTTTGAGAGATGGTTTTTCCTCCCCAGTTCTTGGACATTGCCCTAGATTTCAGCTGTCTGAAGCTCTTTGATGTGTTTATGAACATATATATGTTTTTGTATACTTTAGCTCAGCTTTTTTGGTTTTCTTCAGTAGGAACATTTGGGCTAATCACCAGCCCCCAGCCCCCTGTTCCTTGTGGAATCAGCTCATCAGCTTCTGTTTCACATCCATAAACAGAGCCTACCTGTTGAGATTGCCATTGAAATTACATCGACTCTGTAGATAAATTTAGGGACAATTGATGTCATATTAACTTTTCCAGTTTATTGGGCTGGGGATTCAGCTCAGTGCTTCAGCGCTTGCCTAGCATGCATGCAACCCTGCGTTTCCAATTGATGAATGTTGTAAATATCTAATTTAAAATTTTTTCTTAAATTTTAAACTTACAATGATCTGAATTTAGCAACTGCTCTCAAGAATTAAACAATGTATATTTTCTATCTTGGAGAAAGAGAATTTTGTTATGCTTTGGTGTGTTGGGGTAGTACTGGGGACTGAACCTAGGGCCTTGTGCATGTTAGGAAAGCATGGAACCAGGACTGGGGATTTAGCTCAGTGGTTCCGCTGCCTGCCTCTCAAGTGCAAGGTCCCAAGTTCTATCCCTGGTACCAAAAAAAGAAAAAAAAAAAGGAAAGCACGCAACCACTGAATACATTGCCAGCCCTAGCTGTGTTTTATCTCTTCCTTCCCTCTCCTTTCCCATTATTTATTTATTATTTATTTATTTAGAATGGGGGATCGAACTCAGGACCTTGTGCTTGGGAGGTAGGCGTGGTGCACTTTTTTATTCTTTAAAAATTTTATTTTTATGTCCCTTGTATTCCAAGACTCCCTGTTAATATTTGTATTAAACTTTACAGCCACATTACCAATGATTATTAATACAACTTTTTCAATACCACATTTTAAAATCATAGGCATGTTTTCTCTATCATTCTTATATTATTGACCACATACATTTTTTCCATTATAAATTGTATTTTGTTGTTTCTCCTAATAAGAACTTTTTTGGGAGCCAGTGCTAGGGATTAAACCAAGAGGCTTGTGCATGCTCTGCCACCAAGCTTCAGCCCCTAAATGAATTCTTTAAGAAGTATTTCCTGATATGTACAATAATTATTGTATAATTGTGCAACAATAACTATTACAATAATATGTGTAGCATGTAATAATTATTGCATAATTATTAAATCTGGGATTAATAGTTTCTAAACCTTAAAATTCTAGATTTACTTGTGCATATGTATGTATATATATCTACACACATACTTTGAAAGTTCAACATAATTAATAGCATGTCATTGTTTAATATCATTTCTGATATACAATGTTTTAATTTTTAAATAATTTTGGTGATAAAGAGCACCTTACCTTCCTGATCTATGTGTGTTGGTGGTATGTCCCGAGCTCACGCTCCCCTGGGAATCATGTTCATACTTCCTATGCTCTCTTTCCACCACAGGGTTCAGAAAGGGTGCAGCTGTGGCCAGGACCAGCTTTGCCTGGGCTGGGACCACGCTGTACTGGGTCCTGCTTGTGAGTGTCACAGTGGATCTACGGGCATGGGGCGACCTCCAGCCAGCACACGGGCAGTAGCGGTGCCTATTCCTGTGTGTATGTGCTGTGAGGCAACACAGTCTCTCTCTGTTTCTGCAGGAGCTGAGATGGGCTCCTGAGGGCTGAGCCTCGGCTGACACTGGAAAAGAGGGGTTCTCAGGAGGGTGCTAAGGGCCAGAGCTTCCTGGGACCTCCTATCTACTTTTACCATTTTTCTTAGTGGTATTTCTGACATGTATGTTATCATGGCACATTCAGGTCAGTTGTGTGTGTCTCACAGTTTGTGTAGGCACTTCAAAGTCCTCTTACTTTTCCAGCAGGCCACATTTTAACTTTGGGAAGTGAAGAGGGCAAAACAGCTCGGCTTTGGGCAGACAGCATGTTCCCAGGCACCCTTGCCACAGGGAGTCTCTCCCTGCAGGGCAAAGTTTTGCCCTTGGTCTGGATTTGGTAAAGGGAGATGCTTCATTTTGGATGGGACTGAATGGGTCTTTGGTTAGCTGTGTGTCTGCAGCACCTTCTGTCGTCTTCCCAGCTTGTGGGGTTGGTTGGAATGATCCTTGTGCTTGTTCCTCCTCATGTAGTGTCCTCCATCACTTGATAGATCCTCCTCTTATTCCTGGAAGTGGCCTGGAGCTCTGATTGACAGCGGGTCTGCAGAAGCTAGGTGGAGCTGATTGGCCTATTGGGACAGAGAGGGGAGTCAGCTCCATTCTCTGAAGGTCTTTGGACCCCAACTTAACCAAGGGGCGTAGAGCCTTGGCCTGGGACAGAGAATAAGGGCAAGAAAGCCCTCCCCAAACTTGAAGTCTGCCTTCAGGCATGGGGCCCGTTCCACACATTCACTGTCATGTAATAGTCCTGGGGCAGGGTGGGAGGGGACCAGGCTGGGGAGACACCTGAGGCTCAGCAGAACTGGGGCAGGGTGCCAGGGGTGAACTTGGCATCTTCTTGCTGCTTGAGTTAGGGAGAAGTTCCTGGGCCCACTATGTCCCAGAAGGGGGAAAAGGCCCACTTTTGGGGGAAATCTGTCCCAGGGACACTCCAGGTTCTGTGTCACGTCTGGGCCCCAGCTGGCACCTGTCCCAAGATTCACTCCTGAGATGGGCTTGTGTGAGAAGCAGATGGAGGAGATAGAGTCCTCCCTGGAAACCAAGCACTCCTGCCTGGTAGGAACATCTGCTGGCCTCAGGGGACCAGGCTCAGGCAAGAAGTTGAGGTGGAGTCTGGTCTTCAGGGATGGATCTCAGCTCAGATAGCAGGCTGAAGACTGAGAGGAGGACATCAGAAGTTGGCTGGAAGAGCACTCGGATCTGAGGGGATTTGCTGACACGGTATCTGGGTGGGAGCAGCCTACTCAGGCTCTCCAGGGCTGTGGTAGATCTGGAGAGGTGAGGGGCCCAGGATATCCAGGCCCAAGTGGTTGGAATAACCTGACCACAAAGAGGGGAATGTAACTTTTGGGTTTTCTTTATTTCATTTTTTTTCTCTTGAAAACTCTGCTCCATCTCTGGTGAGCTCAGGGTGCTGGTGGACGGGGTGTGGGAACCCCAGCCCCTCATGCCAGCATGTAAACCATCACTCACTCACAGCTGCCATGACAGCCTCACTGCTGGGCCCAGGCCCAGGGCCCCTCCTCAGCCCCCCACCCCCACCCCGGCCGTAGTGGAATCGGCCTCTCCAGTTTCTGGTAACTTCATCAGGGCTGCATCATGTTGCTAAGTCTCGAGATAACATCTCCCCACCAGTAACCCTTCCCTGCCAGAGCCCCCTGAGACTGGAGCAGGGCTGTGGGGTGAATCTTAGGGTGTCAGGCAGAGGCAGGTTGACTGGGCACTGGACCAGAGTTCAGGAACACTGCCATCTGACCTGGAATCCCAGGAAAAGGAGAAGGCAGGAGTGAGTGGGCAGCCAGGAAGACAGCTGCAGGCCCCAGCATCCCCTGATACCATCTCGGGCCTGCTGACAAACCTCCAAGCCAGGGTGCAGGCGGGTCCCCCTTCCCCAGCCTGGCCAACAGGTCCACCTGAACCCGGGCTCTGGGCGGGGCATGCTTGATGCCATCTTTTCGGAGGCAGCCCAGGGCTCTGTGTGTGGCACCGGCAGCTTCCAGCTCGCGTCGGGCTCCCCAGCACCATGGGCCAGAGTGCCGTGGAGACCAGCGGGCCCCTCTGGGGCTGGGCTGGGAATGGCGAGGATGAATGGGGTGGTGCTGCGATCGCCCTGCTGGCTCTGGCTGTGGTGGCTGCCACAGCACTGGGTCTGCACTGGTTTGGCTCTGGGAAGGACCAGAACTTGTTGGGACCGGTGTCAACAGCCCCCAGGGCCCAGCCTGCTCAGGTGGAAGCAACCAGGCCGAGCCTGCATGCCAAGTCCAAGGTCAGTGGCTTCGGGGGTCAGAGCTTGGGGCAGGGGAAGCCAGACCCTCCAGGAAGAGGCCAGGGGGCCCCTGCTCCAGCTGGAGCCCACGACCCGGGGGCCCCACAGGGAGGAGGTCTGACCCTGCTTCCCCTCAAGATGCCCATCGAGGTGGCCAGCAGAGGGACTTTGGGACAACAGCGTGACACCACCCCAGGAGCCCCGCACAGGGACAGAAGGGCGCCCCCCAAGCCAGACGGTGAGCTCCTGGGTAGGAGCAAAGCACAGCAGACCCCTGCGCCCCTCCTGATCCACTTCACCCCTCGGGGTTCTGGCTGCGAAGCGGAGCTACAGGTGGATGCCGGTGAAGTGAGCATGCGGGGCAGAGGCCGGAGTAACCGGCGGCGACGCGGGGACAGGGGTGCGGGGGACAGACGTGAACGTCCCTCCAGGCCGGACCCTCTGCGCCTGGGTGCCACCGCCAGCGTGTGGGACGCGGTGGACGCAGCTGCCGCAGTCTGGGGAACTCAGGGGTACCAGGGCCCTAAGAAAGGCTGGCCCTGGATGAACCCTGACCCCAGGAAGGAGCAGGCCTCGGCCTTGGGGCCGGGCAGGACTGAAATGGGAGGAGACTCCCGCGTCGGAGAGGGCGAAGTGGCCCCGAAAGGCGGGGACAGCAAGCAGGCGGCCCAGGGGTCCTGTCCCGGCCACCTCCCCATGGCCCCTGCCCCTTCAAACCCTTCGTCCCTCAGAGTCACTCAGGCACCTTCTCAGGGTGAAAATCGCAGGGCAGTGCCAGCCCCCTCTTCAGCCCCAGCCCCACATGCTGCTTCAGCAGAGACCCCAGCCCCAGCCCTAGCCCTGGCCCGCTCCCTTTCCCCTTCCCTATCCCCAGCCCCAGCCCCAACTCTAGTCTCAACTCTAACTTCGACTCCAGCATCAGCCCCAAGCCCAGTCCCAGAAAGGAGGTCAAGGGCTGTGTCTTGGGAGCCCAATGGGGGTCTCTCCAAGGGCTATCAGGAAGGGCAGATCTTAACCAGTTGGGGAAACCTGATTGCCATGGTTCTTAGAAACCATCCCTTGCCCAGGAAGGAGAGGCCCCAAACAAGTGTTCCGAGGGCAGCTCCTGCAAACTCTTCGGATCCCAGCACTCCCACACGCTCTGAGGACAGATGCTCTGGTTCCCATTTGGAAGAGGCTGTCCCCAGCCTCCAGGACAGGCACAGCGCTTCTTCGGGGACAGCCATGCAGGCAGGCACAGGGGGCCTGGCCAAGGCTGGATGTCAGCCACAGCCAATGAGCTTCAAGATCAATGGGGGCCCCAGCCCTGCCCCACTTCCAGGTTCAGGAGGAGATGGAAGCAAAGAGAAACATGTGGACATGCTGCCCCCAGCTGCAATGCCAAGGGCTCTCTCACAGCCAGCTGTGCAGGTGCAGCCTGGCCCTAAACCATGCTCCACTGCGAGGCAGGACTCCCAGCTTATCCCTGGGCCCAGGAAACGCAGCATGTGTGAGATGGCACAGAGCTTGGAGCAGGTGGTCAGCCAGGCAGCCCTGGGGCAGCATCAGGTACAGGTGCCAGGGGACAGATCAGGCAACAGGGAATTCCTCACAGAGAAGCAGAAAGAGGCCCAGAAACTTACGGTTTTCCTGCAGAGGCCTGGGAGCTGGGGGGTGGTTGAGGGACCCCAGAATCCCCACTCTCAAGCCTTGGAGTCTACCACAGCCATGGCTCTGTGGCCCCAGCGGCTAGACCTGGGCAGCTGCTTGGAGGTGCTGGCCTTTGCCCAGAAGCATGGGGAGCCTGGCCTGGCCCAGGAGACCTATGCCTTGATGAGCAGCAATCTGCTGCGTGTGCTGGGTGACCCGCACCTCTACCGGCAGCTGAGTGGGGCTCAGCGGGAGCGTATCCTGAGCCTGCGGACCAGCCAGGGTCAGGCAGTGCTGGGGGTCCTTGTGCTGCCTAGCCTCTACCAAGTGGGCCACTCAGGGCTGGTGAGGGGTTCTCGTGAAGAAGAGGCCCCTTTGACCTGGCCAGCACCCGTGTCTGCTCGCACACACCTGCACGTGTTCAACCCCCAAGAGAACATGTGGTGGCCCCTGACCCAAGTGCCTGAGGAGGCCCCACTCCGGGGCTGTGGCCTCTGTACCATGCACAATTACTTATTCCTGGCGGGTGGCATCCGTGGCTCTGGAGCAAAGGCTGTCTGTTCCAACGAGGTCTTCTGCTACAACCCTCTGACCAACATCTGGAGCCAGGTTAGGCCCATGCAGCAGGCCCGAGCCCAGCTCAAGCTGGTGGCCGTGGACGGGCTGCTTTATGCTATTGGAGGTGAGTGCCTATACAGCATGGAGCGATATGACCCACGCACAGATGCCTGGACCTCACGGGCACCCCTTCCTGAGGGCACCTTCCCTGTGGCCCATGAGGCTGTGGCCTGCCGTGGGGACATCTATGTCACGGGAGGTCACCTCTTCTACCGTCTGCTCAGATACAGCCCTGTGAAAGATTCATGGGAGGAGTGCCCCTACAGTGCCAGCCACCGGCGCTCCAGTGACATGGTGGCCCTGGGGGGTTTCCTCTACCGCTTTGACCTGCTGCGGGGCGTGGGTGCCGCCGTGATGCGCTACAACACAGTGACAGGCTCCTGGAGCCGAGCTGCCTCACTGCCACTGCCGGACTCTGCCCCACTGCGCTGTGCTGTGCTGGACAACACCATTTACTGCCTCAACCACCAGGTCACGGCCACCTTCACAGTCTCTGAGGGGACCGCTCAGTTCCAGGCCAAGGGACTGCAGCCCTTTCCCCTGGGGAGTAAAGGGGCCCTGTGTCCCTTCATGCTGACTCTGCCCCCCGAAGCCTGGTTGCAGACCTCTCTCTGAGCGCTGGCAGAGATCCAGGGCAGAGGTGGCTGTCCAGGGAGACCCTCCATCCCGGTGGGTCTGCGGGACATGGGCCATGGGGGAAGCTGGGACAGAACTTCCTACGACACCTCTCCCTCTCTGCCTAAAAGCTCTCATCTGTTTCTGGAGTGAGATACCTTCTGCCTCCCTACCCCAAGCCAGGCTCCATGTCGCCTCCTTGCCCACCAACACCCCGGTCTCCTGCCTGGTCCTCACCTGCTTGGCCGCCTCCGCTTGTTTGCAGTCTGTCCGTGGGACTCCCTGGTGCTCCTGCAGCCGGGAAGGAGGTGGCTGGAGATCTATTTGCGCTTCTATGTTCTTCCAAGGGGGAAGAGGAACCAGAGGCTCCCAGGAACGCCTTCGCCTCTGGGACTTTTGCTGTCTTGAGGCCTTTTGGGAGCCAGGCTTGGCTGTTCCGCTGTGGGTCTGACTGGTGCTTGGAACCCTTGCCTGTGAAGCTGGGTTGGATTTGTACTCTGCTGTCTGCAGCTCCCGGCCATGGCCCCTGTCCAGGAAGAACCAATGCCACTCGGCTCCTTTACACCTCATGGGGTCTCTCTCAGGCCCTTCAGATTCCTACCCTACTTCCCACAAACCTCTCCCTAAATAAGCCCCAAGTTCCACCCTAGTTCTATCCTTTGACAGCTCTGTGGAATTGGATAGGACATTCAATCCCCATTTTCCTGGTGGATATTGGACACTTGTCATTCAGGAGACCTGTGAGAACATGACCACCAGTGCGACACCTGGCACAGGGCCTGGGGCGCACAACACAAGAAATCAATTAGGTTTTCTCCCCTCATCCACTTCGAAATCCACTTTAGGCAGATCAATAAATCTGACTGAGTACTACTGCCTGTCCCAAGCCCTGGCCTGCTTTGTCCCTGTCTGGGCCATTTTTGTCTTTTTATTCTATGCTTAGTACCACTGGCGCCAAACACATGTTCAACCCAAGAAGCACATGCATCTTACGCTTGTCACGCTTTGCTAACAAGGCTCAATTCGCACCTGAGTAGATCATGGTGTAGGACAGAAAGAGGTCATGGGGCTGTGCTTCAAAATAAGTTTACTGAGAAACAAGACTGTCTATACAGCTGTACATCTGGGGTAACTGACTCAGCCCTGTGCTTCTGCACACAGGCAGGTGGTAGGCGGTGGCTGTAGGTGGGCGATGGGGCCTACTGCTTGCGCTTGGTCTCACTAAGCAGCTCTTGCCGGCTCTTCTCCATCTCCTCCTTGCAGTTGAGGAAGGCATCCTCCAGGCGGTGCATGAACTCTGCCAGTGCGGGGTCGGTGCGCATGACGACCATGTCGTAGGCCATCCAGGTTGCCTGCACTGCAACAATCAGACAGGCCCAGTGAGGCCACAGGTGGCACTGTCGCTCTGGGCACTCCACCTGTGGTCAGCTTCCAGGGGCTGGACCCCGCCAGGATACCGGACCACTCCAAGGACAGAAAGCAGTCAGTTAGATGTTACAGAGCTCATACAACTCCTATAAACACTCCTCCCTCAAACAGCAATGAAGAGACTTCTTAGTCTCTCCCAGGCCTTAGCTCGTGGGTACATCAGCCAAACCTAGTAAATCCGGAGGACTTCTGATATGAAATGTGAGAGAAATGACGGCAACCACAGGTCCTCTACACGCAGTGCACAGTTAGTGGCTGTAGGGTGACCTCCAAGGCATCATCGCACTTACCTAAGCTCACACACTCAGTTGGGCTGGCCATTCTCAGTCCCGCGAGACTTACATTTCCTCATGGTCGGTGACCTTGCAAGCCTGTCCACCTGCAGTTGGGCACCTCTGTGCTTTCAGGCTCAAGGGAGTGGCTCCTCTTCCTTTTAGGGTCCTTGAGCATCAACCACTGCACCGATGGGGTTTACTGCTCTTTTTCTGAGAGCAACTTGAAGTAGCCCTTCCTGGGTCTTTACACAAACACATGCGTCATGAGCAGACTCCAGTAGAAGAATACTCTAAATCTCCCACCACTGCTGTGGCTCTGCCGGCTAGAACTATACAGAACAAAGGTCATGTCCCTCTGTGTGACAGCTAAGCACAATAAATATATCCCCTTAGAACTCTTCTTTGTTGGCCTAAAAAATATGGGATACTTGGGAAGCTATGTCTTTGAGGACATCAACCAAAATGGACATAGGAGAATGATTAATAATATAGAGCACATGTGTATGGATACACAACCAAGGCCAACTGAGTAGCAGATTTAAGTTTTACACAGTTTATCCATGGGGAAAAATTGCTAGAAAAGGTTGTGTAGTGTCTGAGCAGAGTTCATGTCATTCTATAGCTGGTACAGGTATTCCTGAACTTTTGGAAGCATGAGTGGTACTTGGAACACTTACTATAATGTTGTAGACTGCTGCTCCCTCCCCAGACCTATAATTGTTCTTGTCTAGCATATTGGGGATGGTGCCTGGGAACTCATATCCTAATAAGCACTCTGGATCATTCTTGAGTAGGGAGTCTACATATCACACTTTTCTTTCTTTCTCTCTCTCTTATTTTTTTGTTACCGGGGATTGAACTCAGGACCTTGTGCTTGCCAGGCAGGTGGTGGTACCACTGGCCCTTCTTTTGTTTTTTGAGACAGGTCTCACTAGGAAGTCCAGGCTGGCCTTGAACTCATTATGTAGCCCAGTTTGGCTCTGACTTGTGGCAATCTTCCTGCCTCAGCCTCCTGAGTGCTGGGATTACAGGTGCGTGTTACTATGCCTGGCACGAACACCCTTTTAGACAGTGGGTGACACATGGACCTGGGAACAAGAGATTTGCTTCCCAGCTCTCCACTTGCCAGCCACAAAACCTTGAACAAAGACTTAAACTTGCTAACCTTAGTCTTCTCATCTGCAAAGTGGAGGTTACTTACTGATTTCATAGCTTGCCGTGAAGAGATGAGTGGCACATATGATATGCCTAGCACACAGGTTAGGGATGGAAAGTTTGTGTCCACCCCTCTCCTCCATTCATATGCTGCAATCTAACCTTCCAGGTAAAGGTATGAGGAGGCGAGCCTCTGGGAGATGAGTAGTCATGAAGATGGAGCCTTTGCAAATGCAAATGGGATCGGTGCCCTTATGAAAGAGACAGGAGAGCTTGCTCTTGGCTATTTGAGGAGGCTGCCTGTAAAGTAGGAAGAGACTTCTCACCAGACACCAGATCTGCTGGCATCTTGATCTTGGACTTCCTGGCCTCCAGGACTGTGAACAAAAAAAATTTTTTTTTTTTTGGTACCGGGGATCAAACTTGGGACCTTGGACTTGCGAGGCAGGCGGTGGAACCACTGAACTAAATCCCTGGCCCAATAAAATGTTTTTTTAAGCCACCTTGTCTGTGGCAATTTGTTTTAGCAGCCCCAAATGATAAGACAAATTAATACCAAGAAGGGGGTGTTGCTATAACAAACACTTGATAATGTGGGTGGCTTGGGAGTTGGGTCCTGGGTACGAGCTGCAAGAGTTTTGAAGTCCATGCTAGAAGCTGGTATTGCTATGAATGGAGCTTTAAAGGTAATTCTGGTAAGAACTCAGAAAAAAGAAATTTAGAAAGAAAGCTCCATCTCTTAGAAAATATGATCATTAATAGAATACTTGTGGAAATGCAGATTTCCTCATTCTGACATTCTGATGAGGTCTCAGAAGGAAATGAGGAGTAAGTTAGCAGAAGCTGGAGGAAAGGTGATCCTTGTCATAAAAGGGCAAAGAAATTGGCCGAATTGTATTCATGTTTGAGTGGTTTGTGGAAGGCAGAACTAGTGAGCAATGAAATTGGATATTTAGCTTTTTTTGCTCAAAAAGAAAGCAATTTTTACTATAAAATAACTAATGGAGGCACTCAGGGCAAAGAGTTAGGGTGAGTAAGAAGTTAAAGTCAGGGAAACAAGCAGCTTTCAGAAATAAATCTCATACAGCCCTCCACAGAAATTTCCTAGGCCAAAGAAGGGAAGGAAGCATACCCAATTAAAAGATTCAGTATTCACAAAAGTGAAGCAAATCCATTGTTTAAAACACTTGTATCCTAAGGGAAAAATTTCCAATAAGTGTTTATGAAAGGAATGTATGGTAGTTGAAAATGACTGTGACAACATCCCTATTTATTTAGAGATGGGCTCTTGCTATGTTACCTAGGCTGGCCTCAAACTCCTGGGCTCAAGTGAGCCTCCTGCCTCAGCTCTCCAAGCAGCTGGGATTATGAGTATGTACTACCCTCCCAGCTTGACTTCCCTACTATAAATACAAAATGGTCCTGCAGCCCTGTGGTTAGGATCACTGGTAAAGAAAGCTGGTAGCATGCCATGTATGCATAGTTCAGAAAGTCAATTTGAGAAGACACCAAAATACTGCATCAAGTGCATAAAAAGTTTAGAATATATAGAGTAGGAAGGACTCAACACCTTCCTAAAATCCTCCAGAAATATATATACTTAGGGTTTTTCATTATTCTTTAAATGTCTGCTGAATACCACTTTGTGGTAGTATTTGCTAGGGCACTCTGGGGAGGACAACCTGTGTGAGGTAGATACCTCCAGTGTCTACACTCGCTGCAAAGGGTGGAGACAAATAATTAACATAAAAGTCAGTGGCAGACTATGAAAGGTGCTGGGAAGGAGCTGAGCAGAATATGTTGTGATACAGAAATGTGGTGAGAGGAGTCTTATTTTGTATATATAAATATATAATAACGTGTGTGTTTCTGTGCTTTGTTGCTTCTGTATTTTGTTGTTCAGCTTGTCTATTACTATGCCAACACAAACCATTTTATTTGTATAGCTTTATAGCTAATTATTAACTTTATAATATATAGCTATATATGTAGCATTATGTAATTATATAGCTCTATAATAAATCTTATTAATTGTAGGACAAATCCTTTACTTGCCTGCTTTTGCTGAAGTATCTAAATTATTATTATTTTTTAAATAAAATTAATCTTTTTTTAATGTCTTTTTTTTCCCCATTAAGTTTATTGGTACATTTTAGGTATACAATACAGTTACAGTCATCATTGGGATCTTGTACCATTACATGAGTATCTTGGTTCTTATT